CTAGAAAAGTAGTATTGTATTGATGTTTTTTGGTTTTTGCTTGGTTTGCAAATGAGTACAATGACTCCTATTTATAGGAGCTAGAGGATCATTCTAGATCCTTATTAAATGCTATGATTCTAGAGTATTCTACATCTATGTCTAATTACTCTAGATTTTACATAAGAATTCTCTAGTAGAGAATTTTCTAGAATACTTTCTAACTTTAACTCTCTAGACATCTCTAGCCTTTTCTACATAGAATATTCTAGATAAATGCATCACTATTTAATACTCCTCCTTGATGCATTTGTCAGTGACTCCAAGCATTCTTCGCAGAAACTGGAATCTGTCTCTTGGCAGGGCCTTCGTGAAAATATCTGCCAATTGTTCTTCTGTTGGGCAGTACTTCATCTCAATATGCCCCTTTGCTTGGACATCTCTCAAGAAGTGATACTTGATATCGATGTGCTTAGTACGATTGTGCTGAATTGGATTTTTAGCCATCGCAATAGCTGACTTGTTGTCGCAAAATGTTTGAGTCGCAGAACTTTGCAATTCTCCCATGTCTTCTAATATTCTTTTTAGCCATATAGCTTGGCACGCTGCTCCGACTGCTGCAACATACTCGGCTTCGGCTGAAGATAGTGCAACAGAATCTTGCTTCTTTGATCCCCATGAGAAAATTCCCGAACCCAGCTTAAATGCGTAACCGGAGGTGCTTTTCATGTCATCTTGAGATCCAGCCCAATCACTGTCGCTATATCCAGTTAGTCGTGAGTCAGGAGTTGTTTTGTACCAAATACCATAATTGATGGTTCCTTGTAGATACCTAAGGAGTCTCTTTGCCGCTCCATAATGAGTCTCAGTTGGACTTTCCATGAACCTCGAGAGCAAACTTGTAGCATACATGATGTCCGGCCTCGTAGCCGTTAAGTAGAGTAGACTCCCAATCAAACTTCGGTAATTGGTTGCGTCCGTCTGCTTTGACCCATCTTCTTTCTTCAATTTTTCATTAGGAACTAGTGGAGTAACGACGGCTTTGCAGTCTTGCATTTTAAACTTCTTTAGCATGTCCTTAATATATTTTTCTTGAGATAAGAATATGTCTTCTTCTTCTTGACTTATCTCCATGCCAAGGAAGTAGTGCATTAATCCCAAGTCACTCATCTCAAAAGTGTTCATCATGTCTCTCTTAAATTCTTCAATTAATTTGGAATTATTTCCCGTGACAATTAAGTCATCAACATATAGAGAGACGATGAGAATGTCAGATTTACCTTGGGATTTGATGTATAGTGTAGCCTCGTTCTTACTCCTCCTGAACCCTTGACGGGTGAAGTATCCATCAATCTTGCTATACCACGCTCGTAGAGCTTGTTTGAGCCCGTAAAGCGCTTTCTTTAGACGAAGAACTTTTCCTTCTTCTTTGATGAATTCTTCTGGTTGCTCCACATACACTTCTTCTCGTAGCTCTTCATTTAGAAAGGCTGACTTGACGTCTAGCTGATAAATTTTCCATTTCTTCTGAGCAGCAAGAGCTATGAGTGTTCTTATTGTGTCCATCCGGGCAACTGGTGCAAACGTCTCTGTGTAGTCAACTCCCGGTATTTGAGCATACCCCTTTGCAACCAGCCTTGCCTTATGCTTCTGAATTGAGCCATCGGGGTTCAGTTTTGTTTTATACACCCATTTGACTCCAATAACCTCCTTGTTATGTGGAAGATCTACCATTTCCCAAGTATCATTCTTTTCTATCATTTTGATCTCCTCCTCCATTGCTTTAATCCAAACTTTTTCTTTGGAGGCTTCGGTGTAGCTATATGGCTCCAAGGAGCAAAAGTTGCATGTTTCATAGATGTCAGTAGACTCATATAGGTCTGCTAGAGTTCTTACCCGAAGAGGTGGGGACTCTGGTGAGGAGTCGTGATTTCTTGATGTATTAGCTTCAAAAGAGGATCTTGGAGTAGACGTGGGGCTTTGTTGATCGTGATTTTCCTCTTCTGGTATTTCCTCTAGTTGGACAGTAGTTGTCTTTCTTTCAACTTTTTCTGTCTCCCAATTCCAAGAGGCTTGCTCGTCAAACTCCACATCTCGACTTGTCACCAACTTCTTTGTCTCGAGATTGTAGATTCGATATCCCTTGAATTTGGAGCTATAGCCAATGAAGATGCCCTTCTCTGTCTTGTCTTCTAATTTATGCCTTCTAACAGAGGGAACATGAATGTAGCATATGCTTCCGAAGACCTTCAAATGTTTGGCTGAAGGCTTTTGTCCAGACCATGCCTCAATAGGTGTTTTGTTTAAAACCGCCTTAGTTGGACACCGGTTTAGAAGATAGACTGAAGTATATACTGCCTCTGCCCAGAACGTTTTAGGCATTCCTTTTTCAGCTAACATAGACCTTGCCATCTCCATGACTGTGCGGTTCTTCCTTTCGGATACCCCATTTTGTTGTGGAGTGTATGCTACTGTTAGTTGATGCTCTACACCTTCATCTTCTCAGAACTTGTCAAATTCTTTTGAGTTGTATTCGGTACCTCGATCGCTTCTCAACTTCTTGATTTGATGACCACTCTGTTTCTCCACGAAGTTCTTGAATATCTTGAATATTCTAAAGACTTCGGATTTTTCTTGGAAAAAATACACCCATGTCATCCTAGAGTAATCATCGATGAAGAGTATGAAGTACCTGTTCTTCGAAACTGAAGGCGTGCGCATTGGATCGCAGACATCAGTGTGGACAAGCTCTAGTATCTGTTTGGCTCTCCATATCTTTTCTGTTGGAAATGGTTGCCTGTGCTGCTTCCCAACCATACATCCTTCACATACTCCTTCTTTTTCATCCAGTAGAGGCATGTCTCTCATCATCTTCTTTTGGTGTAGTAATCTCAAGGCATTGAGATTGAAGTGCCCAAATCTTCGATGCCATAGACTCGTATCACTCAGTTGAGCCACCATCGCCTTTTGTGGATATTGCCATTGAATAGGAAAATTTCTATTATTTCCCATTTTTACTTCAGCAATTTCTTGATTATAGTTCTTGTCATAAATTCGGCAAGAATTTTTCTCAAAGTGCAAGGCATATCCACTTTCCATCATTTGGCCAACACTTAGTAGATTTTGTGCAAGGCGTGGGACTAGGAGAACGTTTCTAATAAAGCGCGTACCTTTCTTTGTATCTATGACAATGGTACCTTTCCCCTTTGCCTCCACCAAATCGCCATTGCCCATCTTGACCTTTGTCTTGATAGAGGTGTCTAAGTCATGGAAGATGGTCTCGTTGGATGTCATGTGATTGATGCACCCACTATCGATGTACCACTCTTCTTCTTTTGCTTCTATGGCTGAGTGACATGCGTAGAACATGTACTCCTTCTCCTTAAAATCTTCAGAATAGTTGGCCTGATAGTTTCTTCTATCTCTGCAATCTTTTTCTTCATGCCCGAACCTCTTGCAATTTCTGCATTGTGGCTTTCCTCGATGGTAGCAATCTTTCTCTAAGTGATTAGTCTTCTTGCATATTTTGCATGGTGGAAAGTTCGTCTTCCTCTCCTTATTGTTAGAATTCCCATCTTTATGTGGTTTAAAGTTTTCACCATTTCTCGAGTGATTCCTTTTAATGTTGAGCTTAGACTGGAAGGCACTTTCTAATGAACTTTCGTGTCGTCTGTTTAGCCTTTGCTCACGTGCTTCTAGCGGCCCCATTAATTCAGTGATGGACATTTTTGATAGATCTTTTGACTCCTCAATAGCCGAAACTACTGGATCATATTTTTCAGGGAGACTGATTAGGACCTTCTGGATTATTCTCTCGTCGGTTATGTTTTCTCCAAGAGTTCTCATTTCGTTGACTATATGTATAACCCGAGAGAAATAATCTTTTGCCATTTCAGAATCTCTCATCTTTAAATTTTCGAGCTCTCTTCTTAAACTTTGTAATTTAATAGTTCTAACTTTCTCATTTCCTTGAAATTCCTCCTTAAGAATATCCCAAGCTTCTTTTGTCGTAGTAGCACGAATTATTCTCGGGAAAATAGTATCACAAACGGATTGTTGAAGAAGATAGAGAGCTCTAGCATTTTGCTGTTTTTGTTTCTTACGTACCTCGAAAGTTGATGCGTCGTCGCTTCCTTTTTCCGGCATGATGATTCCTTCTTCAACAATATCCCAGAGATCATGTGATTCTAGGCAAGTCTTCATACGGACACTCCAATAGTCATAGCTTTCTCCATTGAACATCGGAGTTGATACCGAGAAGCTTGATGTCGCCATAATGCCCGCTTATGATCGAACAAGCTCTGATACCACTTGTTAAAAAATAGAAGAGGTTGTTGGTTGTATGAGTAGAATAAGTGATTTTAGTGAGGTGTAATGTAGATGATGTGTTTTAGAGGAGAGCTCTTGTCTCTAGAAAAGTAGTATTGTATTGATGTTTCTTGGTTTTTGCTTGGTTTGCAAATGAGTACAATGACTCCTATTTATAGGAGCTAGAGGATCATTCTAGATCCTTATTAAATGCTATGATTCTAGAATATTCTACATCTATGTCTAATTACTCTAGATTTTACATAAGAATTCTCTAGTAGAGAATTTTCTAGAATACTTTCTAGCTTTAACTCTCTAGACATCTCTAGCCTTTTCTATATAGAATATTCTAGATAAATGCATCACTATTTAATAAATTGTATGCTTGTAGTTGGATAAGAAAAAAGTAAATGAAAGACGGACAAATAAATCTTTCCAAAAAGGAAACAAAAAATTTTTTTTGGGACACCCAAATAGGTAAGAATTTTAAGTGACTAAAGGAGTAGCTAATTAATAAGACGACGACGTATTTGGTCAACTTAAATGTGTAGCCATTTCCGCTGTGGTTGAAAAGGTCCACGCGTGGTGAATTAACTGCAGAGCCAAACAAGGCCAAGTCTTGATCGAAGGCTTTAGTCAAACCATTCTACTTGGTAGCTTGGCTAAGTTATTATATATCCTCTATAAATACATACGTGCATCTAAGCAAATATCATCAAAAAACCTTCCAAAGATCCATAGTAATCAATTCAATTAAGCTCGCTGAAGTATATCATCATTTCTATTGATGGCTTCCAATAGCTACTTCAACTTCATCATCTGGTCAACCCTCCTATTCTCTCTAGCAAGAACAGCGTTTTCCCAAAATCTGTCCCCATATTTCTACCAAAATGTGTGCCCTGAAGCTCTACCGACCATCCGGCGCGTCGTGTGTGACGCCGTCAAACAAGAGCGCCGGATGGGCGCTTCCTTACTTCGTCTTCATTTCCACGATTGTTTTGTTAACGTAAGCCAATTACGGGATGTTCTATCTTATTATCAAGTATAAAAATAACTTTTGTATTAATTTAAGTTATGATTTTCATGCATTTGATGATAATTTCTCTTATTATGTTCTTGAAATCATTAATATAGGGTTGTGATGGATCAATTCTATTGGATTCTTCTTCCACCATTGACAGTGAAAAGAACGCTGTGCCCAATGCCAATTCGGCTCGAGGGTTTGAAGTCATTGACCGAATCAAGTCGGAAGTAGATAGTGTGTGTAATGGCCCGGTCGTCTCTTGTGCCGACATTTTGACCGTCGCTGCCCGGGACTCCGTAGTTGCGGTAATACATTTTTATTATGGAGATTTCTATGGTGCCTTTGTTAATTTAAGCGGCACCGGTACCCAGCTGCTTTTAGTGAAGTTCAAAAAAAATTATGGGGTATTTCATTGCAGTTCAAATTCACACGCGTCTTGCTTTTACCAGTCATCTAAGTAGATGCACCGGTACACTCCTAAATAGTAAAGGCACCGTAGAAGGACCCTTTTATCATTCCATATATGCGCTTGTTATCTTGTATAAAACGTATATATTTTTTTGGAAAAACTAAAATCAGTTGAGAGAATATCTTTGATTTTAAATTTGAAACCTTGCTATCATTTTTCCATATTCCATATCTGATAAACAAATTACGATTAGGATATTTTTCATTATACTGTAATTTTCCGGTCTGGTTTAGTCTTGTCTGATAATGTATATTCTGTATGTATTTTACTACCGACGAAGTCTGGTCTAGTTGACTTGATATCCATAGTGGCTATAAAGTGAATACCAAACAATAGCCATTTAATTAAATCTTGGATCATAGAACTATTTATATTTATGCCAAGTTTATTATGTTTACAGTTAGGAGGTCCTTCTTGGATAGTGCCACTTGGGAGAAGGGATTCCACCACCGCGAGTAGAACTACAGCAGACAATGACATTCCGGCACCATTCATGGATTTGTCTGCATTAATAAGCTCTTTCACAAAGCAAGGGCTTGATGTCAAAGATTTGGTCGCACTTTCTGGTGGCCATACTCTAGGATTTGCCCAATGTAAAAACTTCAGAGATCACATCTACAATGACACAAACATTGACAAGGGCTTTGCAGCACAACTTCAAAATATATGTCCACGTGTTGGAGGTGATTCAACCCTAGCTCCTCTAGACGAAGGTCCTGCCACTTTTGGTACAAAGTATTTTAATAACTTGGTGGTAAACAAAGGACTTCTACATTCCGATCAAGAATTGTTAAATGGTGGTCAGACTGATAACCTGGTCCGAACATATGGAGGAAATTATCGCATTTTTGCAAGTGACTTCGCTCAGTCTATGGTTAAGTTGGGTAATATTAAACCACTGACTGGGAACAATGGTCAAATACGAACAAATTGTAGGGTGGTGAACTAAACCGCAATAGATGTAAGTGTGAATATGTGAGATCAAATTCTGCATTTATTACATTTAAAAAGAATTTATGATGATATCCACAAAAGTGGGGAACTAAATTCTTTACATTAATATTTCTTGTTTTGGAATGGGTGGAACTCATTGATTCAGTTGTAATAAATCATTCTCTTTCAGATCGGCATTCTTTTCTTTCTATTTTATTCTTGAAACCCCTAAATTATTATAAAAAATTAGCATAGCCTCATAGGCAACAAATACGAAATTAATTAACTTGGATGATCACTTTTCTTGTGATTAAGTTTCAACTTGGTTACATTACTTTAATTTGTTTCATTTTGATCACTTAATTATAACTTTAGTTGCAGATTAATATATCTCGCCTATTAAGTTACCAGAATAGCGATGTATTTAAAAATGTATTTTTTAGTAAGCACTAATAGCTATCACATCATTTAACCATCTCACTCAGCTATAATAAAAAATACAAGAAATCACAGGATTGACACGAATTTTTGGCAGAGATTCCCCAAAATTGGAAGGATTTTAGCGGGGATTTTTGGTAGGGATTCTTCAAACATCTATAAATACACCCATTTTCCTTCACATTAAATTCATCAATTCTCATATACTTCTAAACTCAGTTTAGGCAAGTATTTCTTTTATATTTTCTAGTACGTTTAGTCTCCAAATTAGGAGATAAACCCTTTCATTTTGGTTTTGTTACGTTGAAGCTTATGATTTGCAGATTGTGAGCTATTTTCTTTAATCATCTTCCATGAATATTAATTACATTCCCATTTTATATCTCATATTAATATTTGAGCATTAGTTAAAGGATTAACTAGTTTTGTTTCATATACGTAGTATTATATATTACTAGAATCGATCAACGAATACGCTTGTTTATCGTTCGGTCTTTTCAACGGTAGTAAACTTGGAATACTAATGCATGCGTCTCGTGGTTAATAATCTAAGGGGAACTAATTATATTGATTAAACCAATAAATCGCTTGTTTTGAGGTTATCAATCTCAATCGATTTTTATGTTTTATTGCTACTATCGAGTCAATATACGACGAGTATTCTATATTTGTTTGATAGTAAGGTTTATTAATGAACGTGTCTCGTTATTAATAACTACCCTCGATGAATTGGAAATACTCCACGATTGAGTATTCGAGAGGAAGATGGTTAAAGATAAAACCGGGATCGACGAACATTTCATTAAGTGGAAATAAGCAAAACAAAGTGTCAATCTCTATTTTATTAAACCACATAAATCGTTCATCTTAGTGTTAAATTGATTAAATCAAATCAATCTTAAAAAAAACCTTTGTTACAATTTAACTAAAAGAAATTAAAGATATTCTTTTCCCTGTGGATATGATTCTTACTTCATTATATTACGTATAAGTGTTGTATAGAATATTATTTTGAGACACACCGCGCACACACAACCACTCAACCCGTCCAACTTCTTTTGGATGTAGAGATGGGAAGAGTAAATTTCTCACTGTTGTGTAAATTGTAGTAACAATTGTCGATCGTACTCGTTGTTCTTGGTGTTTTTTGCTTTCATCATTTTAATTTTTTAAGGCAGAGGAAGCAAAAGTCAGGTGGCCAGGCTGGTTTAGAAGAAAACGAGTATAGTGAAGGGGCAGGATACATGCAATTCATCCTTGCAACCATTGAATCTTGGTCAAGGTGGATTCAGCCCTATTTATAAGATAATTATTACTTCCTTTTACTATATACTATCGTATACTGTTATTAAAGTAAGTAATTAGTAGATAAGATATGTTTGGCCTTTAGAACTTAAGTGTATTTTTGTCATTCAAAACAATGTACCATGTTTTGGGTAAATTATACTCGGTTATTTTGCACGAGTGTATGTGTACACTCGGTTATTTTGTAATTTCATCCAACTCTAAGGCTTCTTCTCCTGCTTCAAATATGTTGCACGAACCAGCTGTGCCTTGAAACCTTAGTTGTCCATCTGCCGCCTCAGTCAACGAGCATCAGGGAGTGGGGCCACATGAGAGACGTTGAGCGGACAACCTATCAAACCAGCCAGTTCGTTCACCCACCTGTACCGGCCACCACCAGCGAGTTCCGGAGCAGGCCAGTCTTCCGGCCGTCAACCCGCCCCCCACTTCCGCTTTCAGCAGTAATCCCACCGGAAAAGATCACCCCGACGAGCACCAGTTATCTTCTCCGAGAAGTTCGTTGTGTTTCCTCCATCTCTGGTGTTGCAGAGATTCTATAGGACAACGTTAATGCTCTGTATAGACTACATTCCGCTGAGATTGACCTGACAAATCAATCCAACCCTTGCCACATCACTCTCACGTGCCAAATGAGCATAATGTTTAAACGAAATGAGTATAGACAAATAAGGATTTGAACACATTAGCAATTTCAAATGACATTTTGGATTTTTCGATACTCCTTTTGTAAGTGGTTCCTAATACTCAATTGAATAAGTGTAATGCTCATTGAAAGTGTTTTAATACTCATAATAAGTTTGATGCACATTAAAAGTTCATTAATGCTCATTTAACAGAAACTGTGATTTTTATCTCAACAAAGAAGATTTGATGCTCATTGAAAATGTCTTTATGTCAAACTAACAAACTTTACGATTTTCATATCAATTAACATTTTGTAAGTTATGTATGCTCATTTTGTATTGATGTTATGCTCATTTTAAAATGTCATAGCAATGCATATTTCAAAAGTATCATATTACACTAAATTCACATATTGAAGTTCATAAGAGTGTAATATAGGTATAATTTAATAAGTTTTTATAAAAGAAAAAATAAGAAAAAGAACAAAAATTAGAAGATATGAAGTTGAGATCGTGTTACTCATTGTTAGCCTCGTAATATTCAATAAAATATGTTGGATGATCACTAAACGTACAATATTGCTCATTTAGCAGAAGCCGTGAATTTTCGCTTAAATTACAAATATGTCACCGAATTTTTTGGCATGTATTAGTGGTTGGGCCATCTTTCTTACTTGGGCCAGGTGTAAGTACACTCGGATGCACTATATACGAACTGCGATGTTTTGCATGATATTCATTAATGTTACATTTATACATGAAGTAGTAACTCTAAAAAAATTAAAAATTAAAATATTTAATTAAATAAAAGATCATTTCATGGCGGTTTAAACCGATTTTTTGCCTCTAAACCCAATTTTAAACCGACTAATATCCGGATATCGACTTTTGGAACCCGATAAAGATGGCTTAGTTTTGATTCTGTTTTTTCAGCTTAGCTCGAGCTGAGTTTTATTTGTTCGATTTTTGGTTTTCGTTTTAAAATGCCAACCTAATATTTTTTCCCATTTTTTGTAAAATGCATATAATTACTAGTAAAAATTTTTACTTTGGGGACCATGGCCTCCTAGCCCTAGGTAGGGGCGTACTTAGGTTGGGGCAGTATATGTCCCCCTCAACCCCAACTAGGTAGGGGCGTATGAGCTTATCTAATCCTATTTCAAAATATAGGACACTATTTAAAATAGGACTAATTGTGTTTTCTTTCCCGAAGATACTCTTATTTGAGAAAATTCGTTATGTTTTACTCATATTAACGAAATTTTCTTAAATTGTATCTACAATTGGGTCTTTGTTGCACGCAGATATTGTAAATTCGTTGTGTTTTACTCTATAGATTGTAGAGTACATCATACACACTTTAGTACGAAAGGATATCATATTTTCATGATGAGACAAAAACGTCAAAAAGAGTCTAAAAACGTCGAATGTTATAACAGATCACATGAGGCCCATGCAAATTAAATTAAAAGAAACTGTTTCAATTCGCATTATGAGCCCGTTTGGTAGCACGAAAATCGGCTGTTTTGGCTGATTCTGCTGAAATTTATGAAGTGGCTGTATTGACTGATTCTGCTGATACAAGAAAAAAAAATAAAATATATTTTATTAATAAAATAAAGAAAAAATTATATGTAAAAATAATTAAAATGATCATCCACAGTAACTTCAGCCAATACAGTCAGAAAAGTAACTCCAACCTTACTTTTTCTGCTTATTACACAATTCAGCGTGCGAAAGCAAAATTAACGTGTTTGGTAAAAAAGTTGGCTGATAAGCCTGATAAATCAAAAATGAGGGTTGACAAACGGCCTCTATATATACTACAAGTAATTTATAAATCATTAATTTGGTATTGAAAATGCTATGACATCCCAAATTGTACGTTGCGACTTCAATCGCTCGGTTATACCCCCGGCGTGCAAGTTGATAACAAAAGTCAGTGCTACTTTGATTTTTATATATACATTCTCAATCGGACATCAACAGCTGGTTTTGTGGCCCCTTTTTCGTGTTATCAAATTTATTAGTCAGTTTTCTCATCAAACACATAATTTTTTATTTCGTGCGTTGAATTGTGTAATAATAGAACAATGTAAAATTGGAGTTAACTTTCTGACTGTATTGGTTGAAGTCACTGTAAAGAATCATTTTAACTATTTTTTCATATATTTTTTTATTTTATTTATTAAAAACAAGAATTTTAAACATATACTTCGTATAATTTTTTCATAAATCAGCAAAATTAGTCAATATAGGCATACAGCAACTTCAGCCGAACCTAATAAATTTTAACAGAATCAACCAATTTTAGTGTTACAAAGAGGCTCTAAATAGCAATGAACTAATGGACTTCTTAATCAAACAAGTACTAGTAATAAATAAGACGACGACGTGTTTGGTCAACATAATAATGGTAGCCATTTCCTCTCGGGTTGAAAAGGTCCATGCCAGGTGAATTTATTGCAGAGCCAATCAATAGGCCAAGTCTTGAAGGGTTTAGTCAAACTATTCTACTTGGTAGCTAGCTTGGCTAAGATATTATATGCTCTATAAATACATACGTGCATGAAAGCTAATTAATATCACCAAAAACACTTCCAAACAGCTCAATATATTGCTAGAATCTGCATATATAATCAATATATATTAGTAGCTATCATCATTTCTACTAATGGCTTCCAATAGCTACTTCACCTTCATCATCTGGTCAACTCTCCTTTTCTCTCTAGCAACGACAGCGTTTTCCCAAAATCTGTCCCCATATTTCTACCAAAATGTGTGCCCAGAGGCTCTCCCGACCATCCGGCGTGTCGTGTGTGACGCCGTCAAACAAGAGCGCCGGATGGGCGCTTCCTTACTTCGTCTTCATTTCCACGATTGTTTCGTTAACGTAAGCCAATTACGAGATGTTCTATTTTATTATCAAGTATCAAAATAACTTTTGTATTAATTTAAGTTATGATTTTCATGCCTGTGATGATAATTTCTTTTATTATGTTCTTGAAATCATTAATATAGGGTTGTGATGGATCAATTCTGTTGGATTCTTCTTCCACCATTGACAGTGAAAAGAACGCCGTTCCCAATGCCAACTCGGCTCGAGGGTTTGAAGTCATTGACCGAATCAAGTCGGAAGTAGATAAAGTGTGCAATGGCGCAGTCGTCTCTTGCGCTGACATTTTGACCGTCGCTGCCCGAGACTCCGTAGTTGCGGTAATTCACTTTTACCATTCCAGTTGTGATTGGCATGAAAGTAATAAAAGGAAGGGGAGATCTTTACATCTACTTTTTCATACATCGAATTTGAAACTAATTTTATAAGATTTTTTATATATAATCTCAAGTTATTAATTAAAACTAAGTTTGTATGTTTTACACTGATCCATGCTTTATTCCTATTTAGTCATATACTTTACACAAATTCTAAAATCATTTAAGAATATAATACTATAGAACAATCACCAATAATAGTCATTCAGTTCTTAATTGGAGCAATGAATTATTTATATTTATGTGTGGTTTATTATGTTTACAGTTAGGGGGTCCATCTTGGGTAGTTCCACTTGGGAGAAGGGACTCCACCACGGCTAGTAGAACTACTGCGGACAGTGACATTCCAGCACCATTCATGGACTTATCAGCATTAATAAGCTCTTTCACAAAGCAAGGACTTGACGTCAAAGACTTAGTCGCACTTTCCGGTGGCCATACTCTAGGCTTTGCCCAATGTAAGAACTTTAGAGATCACATCTACAATGATACAAACATTGACAAGGGCTTTGCGGCACAACTTCAAACTATATGCCCACGTGTTGGAGGCGATTCAACCCTAGCTCCTCTTGACGCCGGTCCTGCCATTTTTGGTACAAAATATTTTAATAGCTTGGTGGTAAACAAAGGACTTCTACATTCCGATCAAGAATTGTTGAACGGTGGTCAGACTGATAGCCTTGTCCGGACATATGCAGGAAACTATCGCATTTTTTCAAGTGACTTCGCTCAATCTATGGTTAAGTTGGGTAATATTCAACCATTGACTGGGAACAATGGTCAAATTCGAAAGAATTGTAGGATGGTGAACTAAATTGTGATAGGATTAAGTGTGAATAATGCATGAATGCAATGTGATCAAATTCTTCATTTTTTTACATTTAAAAAAGAGTTTATGATGATATCCACAAAAGTGGAGAACTGAATTATTTCCCTTAATTTTTCTTGTATTCGGTTCCAATGTATTATGTGTGTTATTACACTATTTTTAATAAATCATTGTGTTTCAACTTTTTATTTAATTTCCAATCAACTGAAATATATGTACATTTCCTCGGGTAAAGTAGCAAAATGATTATTACCACTCACTTATTGAATGAATGAACAGTAATTGAATGAAAGAATGCAGAAATAGAGGATAAATAAATTAAATAATTGAAAACACAAAGAGTTTTTTACGAGAATATTACTAAAATAAAACATATTTACATAAATATGACTATTCATTACTACAATGTGGTATTGTGGTAGCTTAAGCTCAAAATTTGAACATGAATTACTATGATTTCATTACTACTTTAGTCATTAGTCATATTTTTGTAAATCATCTTTATTTTGGTCATATTTATGTAATTATTTCAAACACAAATACTATTTCTTTCGAATTAAATATTGATCTTATTACGTAGTACTCCGCATTATTTTTAATTGTTAGGGTTGTACCAATGTAGCTTACTAGCTTCCATAGTGATTAATGACTCACTTCAGGTCAGGGTGATGACAGATGTTAAGATCTGAGGTTTCATCTTAAAATGTCAACCTGATAGGAGGAGTAGCTCATATCTTAATGTAGCATTTGTTTGTTTCACAACTTTTTCGGTGTGGGACTTCAACACCCCTCCTCACGATGACCAGACACTTTGTCTAATCGTGTCGCCATTCATTTTTCTGTCGGTTCGTCATTGTCAATTTTTTAATCACTTAGTCATTTTTCATAAGAAGGCCCACACCATCGATCGATTTGGCTCTAATACCATGTTCAGACTTGGAGTTCCATCATAAAAGGTCAACCTGATAAGAGTAACTCATATCTTAATATAGCATTTTATTGCTTCACAATTTTCCGGTGTGGGACGTCAACAACATATGATGGCTTCCTTTAATTTGCTATATATGTAGTACTCCTTACTGTTTCTTGACAAAAAGCTAAAATTTACAAGTACTCGTATATTCCTCTAAATGGTTGAATCCTCAACCACAAGGGCCCCGACACCCCGACCCGACAAGTCATATGAGAGGATGTAATCACGGTGACATAGTCTGCTCATGGTAGTAAACCTTATACATGTTCGCACCAGAGGTCTAGCCCAGCACGCAGGAGCAGGTCCAAAGCAAGTAGCAGAGATCCAGAGTCTGCACACATTTGAAAAAATCTAAACCTAATTTTAATTTTAACTGGAGTATTCATCTAGGGAAGAGTTGCGCGTCATCATATGATAATTTGAACAATAATAACAATAATTATTACTCCCTCCGTCTCGAAATAAATGTCCTGCTTTTCCAAATTGGATGTCCCAAAATAATTGTCCTACTTTGAAATTTTCCTAATTTGGTAAACAAATCTATACAAAACAATGTTAAACCATGCAAAACAGTGTCAAACAGTGTCGCTACAGTGCCAAATAGTGTCATTACTGTGTCGAACAGTGTCGCTACATTGTGAAGTCAACTTCATTTTCTTAATCTGTGTGAAGGTCAAAGTAGGACAATTATTTCGGGAAGAAGGGAGTAACTACTAATAAGACTTTAATATTAGAGAAATGAAAAAAAAAAACTAAAATAAAGCCGAGAGACCAAGAGAAATGGAAGAGTAGGGGTTTGAATTGAGCAATTGGTTGTGAACTAAAATTTTGATTGTAAAGGTACTTTATGATCCAATCCAGCAAAGAGAATGACAAATAAAAAGCCCATGATTGTAAATGTTTTAATATCATAATTTGTTTTAATTTGAACTTATAAAAGAGTGACACTACTGGTTGGTGTGTTCTCGAAAAATAAAAAATAATTAATTAAAATTAAGTAAAATAGCCAAAGGAAAAACAGAAAAGAGATGGAACAAAAAATAGTCAAAGCTTGTGCAACGCACAATGTCCTTAAAACATATATGTTTCCTCCCACGGTGCTACGAGCGTTGCAACGATCGTTTCTCAGGATACGATGACTACGAACAATCGTTGAGCACACAACAGATTGTTCCGGTGAACGGAAACATGGTTTGAACACTCAGGAATTTTCAGAGAGAATTGAAGGTGTTTTTAGCTCTAAAACGACGTGAGGAATGTGTATGAACGTGTAAGTTCGTGTTTTGTAAGCACCTGCCAGCTTACTTATAGGAAAGGATTTGTTGTGTGTTAAGTGTGCCTTAATGGACTTGAACGTTGGCCATTAATTCGTCCAAAACACCGTCCTTTTAAGGTGCATTAAAGGAGAAGAACGTTGGGCAATAAATGATGTAACATTTCAGAAGCGAACCAGAAGAGTTCTGTCTGAAGCCTTCTGATGCGGAGCAGAAGGGTTCTGGTCCGAGCAGCTCTGATGCGGAGGAAAAAGGAACGTTACGGGAAGAAACAAAAATTAAATTGTATCTTTGAAAAGATTGACATTCGTGTCCGCAGGTCCCCCGCGCGCACAAGTCGCGGTTTTTTTTCTCCGTTTTTGAAGATTTTATTGACCCCCCCTTATAAAGAGAGCTTTTCCAACGAGTAAACTTCGAGAATCAAATTCTCATTCACGCGTTATCCGTTTTGAGTGTACCATACATCGAATTGTAGCCCTTAACAAGGACAATTTGAAACCACTTTGACCCGACCCAAATTGAAAGTGGATCCCACTCAAAATATTGCCCCAATTTGACCATTTAATACAATTTTTTGACACATTTTTTCAACAATCTCTCACATGAATGAAAAGTGATTTTCAAGACTTAAAAAAGACACAAATATAGGAGGACACGTCGTGTTCACTGACAGGCCAAAATGTGTAGTGTGAAATGGATTAAAAATGTAAATGGAAATGATGTTTTAATTGGCTTGTAACGGTATAGTGTAGAGTAAGTGAGTATCATTCCACTAGAGAATGATTCACAAAGAGAACTAGAATTAATGATTGGTTTTTAGCTAATCACAAATTTATACATTTTGCAATGAAGCTAAGTGATCGGATTTTTTATCTTGTTTTTATAAATGTGAAAATGCTAGATGAGTAAAATAAATCACAATACTTAGTGTTGAGGTTAAGTCCCGCAGATCTGAAAGCCCAACACGAACTTTGGATATATCAGGAATGGATCAGAATCGAAGTATATAACGAAATATAAAAGATGAATCAACGAATACTCAAAAGCCCACTTGTATTAATTAACCTGTTTGATTACAAGGAAACTTCTCGATCGGTACGTCAGAACTATGCTTCTAATACAAGAAACGAGAGTAATAATGCTATTCTAGAGCCTGAGTATCAAAATGTTAACCCTTACAATGATATTAAACCTTCTATTTATACTAATGGAGAGCATGGGCTGCTCTATGCTGATTGGTTGTTGTTTCACCGATTTGATCACTCATGCTTCCACTTGCTGATGTCACAATCTGGCATTAATTGCACTTGGCCACTTGTTGGTTGCCCATTGCTCGAACGGGTTGTTGGATCATGCGGAAGACGCTGGCGAATTGGCCCAAGTATGATATATGACCCGATCTCCGTTCGGTATTTCTGCTTTCTGGGTCGGCCTCTACTTATTGGACTGAACCTCGTTCGGTATGGATTCTTCATTGGGCCTACTCATCATAGGGTAGTGGACTCGTTGTTTGGGCTGGATATCCTGGGCCATTTTAATCCGGGTATTGGGCCTCCGGGTCAATATCCCAACACTTAGTAATTTAGCAATTAATGATATAGAGAAAATTAGGCTTGGGCTAAGAGTAATTTTATTTTAATGTTCACAATACTAAAGATTTAACTGATTAACTTAGTTACTTTTAGGTGTGTGAAAGATTTACAAATGGTAATCTTCTAATCGTTCCCAGGCCACGACTTAGTTGATTACACTATCTTAAATTAATTCCGCTTACTCGATAATTTTATCAAGATAGTAAAAAGTACAAAATCAAAGTATCCTAAATTCTTTAACATTTGTCCGTGTAGCAATTTAGTGGGTGAATTAACAAAAGGAATTTTTTATGAAATTTCACTCCCGTGATAATATTCATTTCCCAATATAATGTATTTAGCGGATTAGAATATTCAACCCAACACTTCCAGAAATCTTGCCCAAACCTAAACTAATTTAGTTAAAATTACATCTTGCCCAAACCTAAACTAATTTAGTTACACATAATTACAGTAAACGAAATAATATTAAAGTAAAACTCGTGATAGGCATAATTAATTTAACAGATTAAAGAAAATAAAATGAGTATTTGAATAAGAACATGAAGGCATAAATAATGAAGAACATAGATGAGCTAGAATGGAAAAGCTGAAAATCCGCTAGAACTGATCAACTTCGAACTGATATTCCCTAATGAACTTTATGACCAAAATATTAGACCTAGAATTCGGGAATGTAAATTACAAACTGAAATTTACAGAAAGTGTTTGTGAAAGAAGATGTTGAAAATAATTTTTGGTTGGCTTTTACTTCCATCATCATGAGATGTGATTGTCACCTTCTTGATTTCTTTCTGCAAAGAGTATCATTCCTATTCAATTGTCCTTTTTTTTCTTGGTTGCTATCTTGTTGATGTCGTTCTTGGTGATGGCCGACTGGGGATGAAGAAGCTGTTTTTTTTTAATTGCTTAGCATGCTTCGTAGGTCCCTCCATCAATGAAATGCATTTGCATGCACTTCATTATTTTTTTCCTTCTTGAGAGCTTTTACGTGGATGGAGTTTCACTCATAATAAGGAGTGAATAGTACGTGTCAATCAAAGTTTTGGCTTGTATCCCCCACAAGTTTTATTGTGGACAATCTGGTTTATTCTGAAATGTATTTCGGGTCTCTTGATAAATACTCCCTCCGTTCCCATTTTATCTTCCATTTCTCATGGGCACACAATTTAAGAAAAGTAGGTATTGTGTGGTGGAGAGTTGTGCAGAAGAGAGATAAATGTGTAAGAAATGTTGTGAACCACAAATTCTTTACCAAAAGGGGAAAGTGGAAGTTTAATTGGAACGAATGAAAAAGGAAAGTTGGAAGATATAATAGGAACGGAGGGAGTATTTCGGAGTTAAAGTAAGGACCCGCTTCACTTTGATGATTTTTCCGTCTTCACTCGG